TATATAATACTACTTTGAACATATATCTAGTTGTAAGATGTTTGCTTGGTACGTGGTTTCTTACGATGTTTGCAAGAATTGAATGCTATAATTTTATGTAGATTTCAATAATAAAAAGATTAACAACCAGCGGATTTGTACCGACCCTTAAAGGCAACATATATGTGTCGTATTCTGTTCATGGTTTTGCTGTCACGTGTTATTTCATAGATTATAACTAAACGGATATATTTTTGTCGCAACACAAAATAAAAACTTAACGGTGTTTTTAATCTAAGTCAAACATTTTCAAACATAATATTTTGGGCTAAATAACTTTGTATTAAATGCCCGCTCAATTAGAGTTCATTGTAAGATTTACGTATCTACAGTTATATATATATATACATACATAGTAGCAGAGTGGTGGCTCGGTGGATACCACTACACACGTGCATATCCACTATGCATAAGCGTTGCGGCCCGCGATCGTTGTTGTTAAGCAACTTTCGCAAGGGTCGGTCACGGGATAGGTACCAAATAATGTCTCGAACTACTTGCTTCAGAAGGCATGTGAAGCCATTGGCCCCAGCTGAATTTGAAGCAGTTTATTCTCTCTAATCCGCATTGGGCCAGCGTGGAGAATCATGGCCCATCCTCCTTAACTGAAGAAGGAAGGCCTGAACTCCTGCAATGATTACGTAAAAGGGCCGGTGATGATGATGATGAAACATATATTTAGTAACATTATTTTAATTATTAGACATACAACTTTGGAAGTTATTTAACCATATTTCAAATAAAAAAGTTATTGAATAAAAAAAAATAAGCATTGTCCACTCCATTACACCGTTGTGCTTATTTGTTCCGCTGACGAAGTTGTTAGCGTTGCAGCCGTGATCAACTGCACGCTTCCTTTGTTTCAGCACCGTTCATATTTTGTCATAAAAAGAAACAGTACGGCATCTTCAAACATTTATACTTATTAAAAGTAGTCGCCTGGGTTGCGAAATATTGTTTATATTTTTAAAATAGATATGTTATACATAATTGCCTCAATATTAAGGAAGGTAAAAATATATTAGGCTATTATTTAGATTTACGTCTATATTATGTTATATATATTTTTTATTATGTAATAGACAATTTCGCTCCAGCTTTATGGCAAGTACATATTTTAATGTTAACAAGAACCAACATTAATGAATGAATGAGTTCGTGGGTGAGTATTGTGTTGTGAATGTGTGTATTGTGTGTTGTGAGTGTGTGTATTGTGTTATGTGTTGTGCCTGTGGGTGTGTGTTGTTATCTACATATATATTATATATTTGTATTTGTATGTATATGTATATTTATGTATATGTATATGTCGCAGCCAAGCGGCACAATCAGCCTTATATGGAGGATAATATTGATTGCTGGTTTGCATCGAACAAGTTTTAAAACTAATGGACTGATTTTAAAAAATCTTTCACCGACGACGGGATACTACTTCCTACGCGAATGACTTAGACTATAATTAGCGAAGACGAGGAAAAACAGCTAAATAGTAAATATAATAGGTCTCTTTCACCTCTCAATTGCATTTGAAGCATTTACTCCATAGGTAATATCTACATATTACCAAAACAAGATAAAATAAATCTCCCTATTGTAAGTAAGTTATGTAAATTACTAACAATAGGGAGATTTACTGTAAACATTTATTTGTAAACACATATGCTTCATATTATACTAAGAATATTGTGATCTTCATTATCGGAAAAAAGTGTTAAATAAAACTTATAAAATATTTGATGTTATATTTTAATGAATTGTGTTTAAGTAGTGTAATAGAATATTTGAATACATAAGTATTACCCGTGCTCCTGAGCGCAGTATTTCAGGGGGAATAGATGTACTAACCGTTCGTAAGACCCAATGTTCCTGTTCAATGCTCCAAACCTTTCACATATTTGTAACAATATTTCTTATTACGTTCATTGTATATCGAAACGCGTTTAATGCGCGTGTCGGTTTCATATTCATGAATTATATTTTCTGATCCATGGTATTAACAATAAAAACGCTTTCGTTTAGCGTCAAATACAATTATTGAACTCGATGAAATCTAAAAGTAAAAATGGTGTTAATTTTATTCGCATTTTATCTTAGGCAGAAGAACTATATTCTGGAAATATAAAGGTATGTATTCTGTTAAGACACAAAACGTCGTACCTGGACTTCGAATGGCATATTAACCCCCGCTCGCTGTCGTAAAACCGGTAGTATCAAACGCCATGGTGAGATACTTTCACAAGTTCACGACTTGGGGTAGTGAGTAAAGCGGCAGTTACATTGGGTCCACGCCACGTGACGCCGCAGTCGTGTAGGTAGGACTTACATTCTCATATTTCCTCTACACTTGGAACGTGGATAATATAAGTGGTTATATTAGCCACGTTCCGATTGTCGAGGAAGGAGTGCCTATACCTAAATATATTAAAGTGATGCGCGTCATTCGTGATAAGTTATTTAGTAAACTGAAAAAGCACTATATTGGATTAACACGGTAATTATTTTTAGCCTTAGGTGGTATAGCGTACGAATCCATTGTTTTCACGATTAACTCTTGAAGTTAATCCACGATTAACTCTTGAAGTATAATAAATAAAAACATATTTTTGGTTACGTCATATTTGCAATTTTTTTTTGTAGTTTTATTGACACCTTTTCTGTTTAACAAGGTTTTAATATCATTTGAAGGGTTTAGTAATGTAATCTAGCAATAACTTTAGCCCACAGTTTAAACATAAATAAAATAAGAGATTCAGTAAAGTTACAATGAGAATAAGAATAGAATTTCATAGACAATAAAATCCTTATTGGCAGTAGGTGTAAGTACGCAACTTTCTTATTCCCAGCCGGCCGAACTACTGGACTATCGGTGTAAAAATACTACTATCTAGGTTATAGAATATAGTATATCCTATATAATTTGTGGGTTGATAGGTAGGATAGGATATACTACCTTCTTAAGGTAAATTTTAAATGTAGTTTAATATAAAGTACAGTCAACGGCATGTCAAGCTATAAAAAACTCAAATTACTCTACCTTCTTTTAAACTTTAATAAGTTTTAACTTTAGAGTTTAAAATCAAATGTTTTGGAAGCCTGACGCCTTGTGTACCATTTCCCGAAATTCCAATTAAGAAATCAACCCATTGATAAGCGTGTACACCAACAGTGTCGATCAATTTTTGTAATGAAATGTTATATTGTTCTAAATTATATTTATAAAACATCATAAATAAAAAAAAAAGCAATATATACAAAAATATTATTTTTCAGAACCTTGTTGACCCTTGAAGAGGTCACGTATTTACGAATTATCTCAACATAGTAACTTTCTATGGTTAGGTGAGCCTGTTAAAACAATTATGGCTGAGACAGAGCCAATTCTAGTTCTATCTGATTCTGCTGTTTCTAGTGATGAAACCGAACCCAGAAGAAAATTTGTCTTATGAAATATCAAGCCGTTTAGATGATGAGTCAGAATGGAACAGCAGTGATGAGCATTATAACCCATCCCAAAAACGCACCGCTCCCAAAGACGACGATCTGGTTCCAAATTAGAGGAAAAGTCGGCCACAGTTACAGCGAGAGATAACCGTACCAAAAAAGGGCCACTTTTTTCCATAAACTAAAGAATAAAAGATCTGATTTTGTCTACTGAACACTTTCAGAATAAATTATTTTCTAGCGCCCCATTTTTTCGCCTACTTAAGAACCACTTTAACTTCAAATTAAATTAATTCATTATTGAAAGCTGTATTAGCGGAGATTAAACATTAATTGTAAACGGGACTTTTACTATAACTCGCAATAGTTAACTTTAACCATGCGCGCAGTAGGTAATACACAACGGGATACACCTGCCAATGAAAATGATTATTGAAACGCAACTTTTATTATTCAAACAGATTATCTTTTATCCTATTAATATTATAAATGTGAAAGTTTCTTTGTTTGGATGTTTATCCGTCAATCACGCCGAAACTACTGAACATTCATGTCCTTGAAAAATTTATACAAATCTGTCATGTAAGCTATATCATTCTCTGATATAATGAGCTTGTTGTGCAATTATATGTCTTTAGTTTCCAAGAACTCTATCATAGATTTGAACAGGTTGTAAAACTGAATCAGATAATTGCTTCTTAATAGCCAACGAACTTCAGTATGAAAAAACATACGGTTAAAATTCTCGTCATAAGTAACACAAAGCTGATGAAATAATCTATCATTCTAAGAGCTGTTGCCGATTTTATTGACCGCTTTGATGTCATGTTGCAGTCATTGAAATAGTCGTTCACTTAAGTTACTAGCGACCAAATGTTATCTAAGAATAACGCCATGTTCAGCAAGGACATCTGGAATTTGATTTTTTAAGTTCACTACGAAGCCTTTATGACACCCTTTTATAGCCGGAGCGCCATCCGTATCAATTGATATAATATTTTTCAAGGTAATCTCTTTCTCATTACAAAACTTCTCCAATGTATTCTCTAAATTTCTAGCAAAAAATAGTTCTTCACATGTTTTCTCATCTTTAATGAACGTAAGAGAGCAACAATGCTTCATTAGTTGGTAAAGTGAACTCAACGAGTTGAAATAAGAATTGACCTTTTCTCAGTTAATCGCACAATGATCTTTCAATGTTTTCATCAATTCGTCTTTGCACAGAATTATTACTCAAAGCAATATTTCGGATAATCTTGCAGTCGGTTTATGAAGCACAGTAGTTATTACTTCCTTTATTGCTGAAAAATTCTCCGATGTTATGCGATTTACCTTTTTTAACAATTAACAAAGAGATATTGTACGAAGCTCTAAGTCCATCGTCATCTTGCTTAGCAGCCGCCGAAAATAGTTTTGCTACACTTGGCTAGGTATTATGCTTTTTCTCTAGGTCTTGAAAATATGCTATATTCTTGTCTTTCTTATCTGGAGGCGTTTTTCAAATGATCTTGTACTCAGATTACTTAATTACTCAATTGCAGAGAGGGCGTGATTATCGATACTTTTAATTTAATTAGAATGGTAACACTGACTTTGACAGTTCCTTCATTCTGTTTCCGATCGCCGCGAGGAGTAAAGACATCCGACGACATCATTCTCACCTCGTTATATTTTTGTTTGAAAAGTGATAAAATGGAATATATCCACATTGGTACATACGCCTGTAGTGTTATTTTGAAGATAGTCCCCCGATATGGACGATCTATTTCACGACGACGTCATACATTTTTTTTTGGTAATGACATGATTTATGTAAATGTCGTTGCTGGTAACTTTCTTTCGCTTGTTCTTCTTGTCATCTAAAAGAGGTCCTGAACAAGTGGTAAGAGGAAAAGAATTTTTTTTGGTCGATTCAAAAGTGCTTATAATAAGCTTATTCGAAAAATATATTTTCATTTCATTTGAAAATGTTTTTAGACACAGAAGGCACAAAGGCGACGATGGGTTTGTGGGATTTTCAATGAATCCGAATTTAATATATTCTGCACAGTATTGCCGTCTTTTCTTTTTTACTTCCAACATTGTTTTTTTTTTTTGCGAAATACGTAAATAAGTGTTGAACTTAAGTAGGTACAGCTTATCTATTACTCGCGAAACTGCAAATGTAAATAAAATAAATATTACGTTGTTTATATAGGATTGCATAAGCAGCACCCACCGACAGGAATAAAACAATCATGCATAAACTCGTTTATCTCATTCGACACTTAATCGTACTCAATAAGTAAGAACAACTATTATATGAACCAGGCGATTGATACAGGCATGCATAATTCGGATTTTTTAACAAAAACTTGTAAAACATGATAGCTCGCGGTCTAATATCTACGAAAATTACCTATCAAGGAATACTAATAACTATTGTATGTCTGTTGCCTTTTTATTTGTTTGTTTTTGTCTACTTTAATTTCTAAACAGAGCGGCCAATTGACATGATTTTTATTTACATATTCAATAAGACTGGATAGATATATGACCTATGCAGAGAAGAAACTAATATCAGTTGATGTTCACAAATTCTAGTTGAGAGAGCTCATGTAGTTGGTGTCTAAGAGGCCTCCTAGCTAAATGAAATTACAAATCACCCACCCTCCAAGCCTCTACACAACGTAATCATTTTTTTCTCGGTCTCTTACCGCTACCCTTTAGGCCTGCAGCGCCAACAAAGGGGCATTATCGCCCACTTTAGGAAAGGCTTGTGTAAATTATTTTTACCTTTTAGGTGGTTAGCCGGTTTCTAATACCTGGGGCTTGCATATTCTAGCTTGTAAAAAAAATAAATAAAACGTAGCTAGTCAACCTGCTTTTAGAGGATCTATTAAAAGATCTCATTTGTCCAACTAAAAAACTGTTATTGATACTGTTATTTGACATAACAAAAGCTTCCGAAGTCTTTGTGTGGGGCGACCGTGTCTTGAGACATTTCACTCCTGATCCGCTCGTTGTACATACCTGTGTACAGTGCATATATCCAACATTTTTTAGGGTTTTTTTTTAGTTATTTCTTTGACACTATATATTTATAATAAGTAATCTAAATATATGTGGTAGTTTTACTTGCGTCAATGGGTTAAGTAAACCTAAAAGCATTTTTTCATACGGTATTTCATGTAGTTTTCTTTAATTTTGAAACTATTGAAAAACATAAAGCAAGTTTATTGATAATCGTTTAAGCAAGTCAAAGCTGACTGAAATTAATTTTGAATTACTTACATTTTAAGGTCATCGAATAAACTTCGTATTAAAATTAGGAAAATGTGTGATTTTCATTTTTTTTTTATTGTCAGAATTAGTGGATCTAATAAAGAAATTCGATATATTTTAAAATTTATTACAAAAAAGGTAGAAATCCAACACAAGCCGCGATTTTTTATGCTTTATTATATTAAATCAGTCCTAAATGTCATGTGTTGTTTTTTGGTAAATGTTACTGTCGTCTCAAGTGATTTATTGCGTAGATAGTGGGGAGGCGACATGTAAAGCCTGATTGTCGTCCTAGTAGCAATTTAGGTGGATTCATCGTTGGACTGATAAATGATTTAAGATCCACATTGGACTATTTGAAATTACAGAGTGCAGGTGGAGAAATTGATAGCGAACTGTCACACCGATGATAAAAGAGTAACATCTGTAAAAAAATACGAATAATTTGGAATGCCAGTGCTACTAAAAGGCCTTGATAGTCGTGGTATATAATATGATATTACCTATATAAGATATGATAGACAAATTTACTAAACCATAAGAATAAAAATATTTGCAAAGCTACGTCCTGATTTTGGATAAGTGACTAAACTCATTAGTCTGGGTGGTTTGGTGAATAGTTGACTTCTGAAAATCTATCAGGTGCAAGTAGTAGGTGTAGTTACGCCGTAAGTCCGCCATTGCAAGGGTTTTACTCTTTTGGAAAAGCGACAGGGTCATAATCTAGCATATGGATCAATACGTATTGGTTTATTCTAACGACTATAGAGGTTGCTGGGGCAAATTGGTTAAGGAACATTTTGACTCACTATAAAGCTCCAAATTATAAAGTTTTGAACACCCGTACGATGCGTATAAACTCGCTTAACCGCTGCTATCGCAGACCGATCGTGTTAGCTAATGTTTCAGGATGGGAGATCTGCGCAGCGTCTTAGCCGATGTATATGATACCGCGTATAAATTGATTAAGGCATAACAGTAGGAAGCAACAATTATGTTTGCCAATTACTGGTCATTTTTCTTTCCTTCCCTTAAAATTGAAACAGAGGCATCGATGCGTCACCTACATAGATGTATTGTAAATAGTGATGTTAATGATTCTGAACTGAATGTAGCTACTGGGAAAAAACATACTATTGACGCAAAGGAGTTGTTTTCGAATATATCACGCATGTATGGTAGTTTTATCGAAAATTAAATAATGTTTTCAGTGTTAATAACATTAAACTGTGAACCTAATATGAAATAATAAAGAAATTGTCAATGGACGTTCATGGTTCCCAAATATGCAGTAGAATTTAATCAGCATAGGCACTGCCCGCGCCGTAAGTCAGGGGTGAGCCATAATGAAATTCCAGCCCTTTTAGTGACATTCTCCATTGTGAGGTTAGTTTTTTTAAATTTATATAAGCATATATTTGCTATTCATATTTTATGCGTGTATTTTTTTTTATAAAATAGAGCAACTTTTTCATATTTTCAGAGATGTAAATTTCGCGAAAGGCAAAATATTGGATTGGTGATCAATAATTAAAATATTATCATTAAAGATTTTTTTGGTTTCTTAAGTAATTATAAACCCAAGGACAAACAAAATGAGAATTTAGTTTGACACTTTGTAAGCAATTACTTTGTAGAGATGTTTCAATAATACATTTTATCCTTTATTATCCACTACTCTATATAAATTAATACATGGTTAAATCCTGAGAAGGTTGTAAGATGCCAAGTCTTTGTTGTTTACACACAGACGTCCTGGACGTAACACACATTCATAGATATGTAATTTTAAAAGAGTATTTGTAGGTTTATGAATAAGTAAATTAATTTCCCTTTGTTGAATGGTGATGCTATTTATAATACTGTATAAACTGTTAATGCCGATTTCACAGTATGAAGATCTCTGAGTTTCTGCGCTTTATTTGTCTATGTCAGATAGTACTTATTATCCCAGAACTAATAGGGCAAACTAATTGTGCTGGGTGGCAATCAGTACCAACATAATAAAAAATATTTTCAAAGGAACCCATCATTTTTTATCATTTCATTATTAAAAACGGAAAGAAGAAAATAAAGATGCAATCTGTTTAATTTATTTAGATCAGAATTATTACTTTTGACATATCTCAAACAATCGTATGAAATCAATGTTTGCCAAATTTCGGAGGAGTGTGTCGCAAACTAAGAGTTCCTCAAGGTAAACCACGGGTTACATAGCATCAAGTGATAGTTTAATCCCATCTAATATAGTGTGTAGTGGATTTGCTTGGGTCCAGTCTTAATTCTGGATTATCATACAAACTGACTACCTGTACTAGTTTCATATATGATATAGTGGGGCACACTTACCCGCCAATTCGCACAGGGCCCGCGTAGTTAGATGTGGCCTGTTCTCCCTATGTGATTCTATAGAGGCTTTCTATATGGGTGGATTGCATAAGAATCGATTAGGGAGGATGGACCATGACCCAAAAGCAGGCTTTGTGTTTATTGGTGGGTGTTAAATACTGTCGATGCAGTCGGCGCTAATGGATTATAGTGCTTTCCAAAGGACGGAGGAGATCAAGATATTTTTAAAATAAAATAATTTAAATATTTTTTGGTCACCTATCCTTTAATTTGCCTTTACGAACGTTGCTTAACCCTATGGTAGACCAAATGCGCTACCTAAAAGTAATATTTGCATAGTAGTTAGAAAAAAATATCTCAAGTAAAAAAGAAAGATAGAGTTGAAAATAACGTATAAAATTGGAGATTTTACAAACTGAAGCGCTGGGATTTGAACATTATAAAAGTGTCACCGCTCTTTCATTTTCAAGCAATAACACGATGATAACGTGTAACAGTGTATAACGTTACATAATCTAAAGCTCCCCTACACTATTAAAAAATACTGTAAAAAACTCGAAATAGTCACGTTTTTTTTGTATGGGAGTGGCCTTGAATATTTATTTTATTTTGTGTTAGATATTGCCGAACTGATATTATAGAAACAAGTCACTTAACTACACAAACATTTTATTTGTTTTTAATTAGAATACATTACGTATTAGATACACGTGTTTCAATTGGTGTAAATGCACGTATTTAAATGACATAGTCGGAATTTGTATAGAGTTGTGCCCTAACAAAAAGTATTCATTACATTGTATATAATGTGGGTCGTATTAGAGCTTATAAGTAATAGGTAGTAATAGGTCGGGGAAAAAGTTTCTTCGCATTTTATATGAAAGTTTATTTACATTTAACTAGAGTATGTAGGTATATACCATTTTGTTCGATAACGTTTATAATTTTGCCATATTGTAAGTAGGGATGTGATCCCATTGCTATATGAATTTTGGGGCTACTGATCAAAAAACCGCGACAAGTGGATTTGGCAGTTCTCGCGTGATCTTAACCTGACAAAGAATTCTGAAGAGAATGAAACAGGTGGAAATCTGAAGGTGCAAGATCAGGACTATACAGCGGATGCATTAACACCTCCCAGCCAAATCCTCTTAGTTTTTGCTGAGTGGCAAAATATGTGTGAAGTCTAGCATTATCATCATGAAAAACTACACCGCTTTCTCTCTCCTTGCTTTAATCTCATCAGTTGATATTATAAGAATTGTGATCGGTGCCATATATTTTAATTTATTTTAAATGTAATTTTTACAAATTGATAATAACTGTACATTTCTATTTGCTTAATTGATTCTACTGGCAGTCTTTTTTTATATTGAACGATTGAAGGAGCTAATATGGACACTGTCTAAAACGAGAGGGATGACAAAGTAAGACAGTTGGAGAATTAGTATTTGAATACAAAACATTTTGTTTTTAAGTATTTGTAAAGCGGAAAAAGCGGAGTCTTAGTAATAGGGCAACGTTTTACCCTTTGGGTACTGAAACTTAAAAACCAGCCTTGTACTCGATGACGCAGTGATGTTGTCATAGCATAGATA